ATGCTGAAGTTGAAAATCTTATAATGTAATCTAATCTTATAATTAAAATATAATGTGCTTTTAATAATGTGTTAGACATTTTTTTTTTTTTTTTGATAATAATGTGTTTACTGTAGTTTAGAATTTAGTTTAACATTATTTTATTAGATCATTCAGAAAAAAATGTTTTACATTTAAGGTGAGTGAATGTTTTTTGGATTACTCTTAGTTTGAACATACAAATGGTGTATTATTATGTATATGTATTTTAAAGAGCTATTATAATAAGACAACAAGGTTATAAAGTGCTTTTAAATTAGTTTTTATAGTTAGGTCTACCGGTTGTTATGTAAATTAAACCTTTTGTTTCAACTCTCATAAATATTGATTCCCAAATTAGAATCTTTAATCTACTGCTCATATTATACATTTATACCTAAAGAAGAACCCCTGATATTTTAAGGACCAAATTAATAATGTATCGATTATGTCTAATATATGGGCGTCAAAGTTGTTACTAAAATTATTCATTGAAAAAAAGATAAAACAAGTTGTATTTAAATAATTTACAACAAAGGTTTGAATACTAAGCAGAATCTGAAATATTTAATAATGTAAGCTGTTAGGTACTATACGTTATGGACTATGGTGAAATATATTCGTTTTCAAATACAAATATGAAAATGTGTTTTATACATATTTAAAAATATTGAGTTAAATGTATTACCTAATAAATATTTAAAATTATCTGATTCATTCGGGATACTACCTATAGGTATACGTGATTTAACATTTGGATTATTATTTTATGCAGAAGAAAGAAGGCTTTTACCGATTTAAATTAGTATATGCATGAGATTTTATTCAAATGGTCGAGCTTTTAGAATTTATTTGATGTACCGTCATGGGAAATCAAATTAATCAAATTAAAAGAGAATAAATAAGCCGTTTGAAAATGGTCACAAATAACAAACTGCAGTGCATTGCAATAACAGTATAACGTATAAACACTATAAACAATCATAATGTTTACGCAAGTATAGGTACATACATTGAAGTATTTAAATTTTATAGTTAGTTTGTTCATTTAATTAATAAAAAAACAACGGATAAAAGGTTCTTTTTACTGCCTATTTAAAAAAGTATTTTTTGAATTTATTTTATATTAGTATTTTTCATAATTTAAACTGGATTAATTGTTAATTGGTTTGTTAAAAAAACAGAAAAAAAAATTTAATTAATTCTTATGTTTAATATCTTTGAAAACTACTGATAACTATAGTATATTTATTAGACAAATATTCTTAACTAAACTGAATAGGACATTAATGTAAAATGATAAGTTAGAAAAGCTCGTTTAGCGAGTGTGTTAAACTCTCGATTTCCAGACGTAATTTAATACAACACAATAAACTAAATTATAATTCCATAATCCAGTATTAAAAAAAATAAATATCTAAATGTAAAAAATCGTATCTAACTATACGTACCAGTAACTATACGGACAATGATTAAATATCTTAATATGAATTATTTCGTGAACAACTACACAAAAAAAAAAAACTGTATTATTATAATTTATATTATATTTCATTAGCATATTTACCACTGTGAAATTTCTTAATGGGACTTTTACGCGGACTGGTGATAGTTTCATTTCATAAATATAATGATAAGCTTATTGTACATGAATAGTTTAAAAAAAAAATTTTCTGCGTAGGTATACCTCTGATATATATTTTCTCTCAATATTTTGAAAACAAAATTTATTGAAATGGGTAAGTATGAGATCTCCAATATTTCTTTAAGTTGCTGTAGGATAGAGGATGCCTCCAAATCGAGTGTCTATACGTGATCAAAAAATTGGCATTCTCAATTCAAGTATGAAAACAGTCAAGCTCTTGTTGAATACCAATGTCCATTTTCTATTTAGAATATAAATTTAACAAACATTTTATTGTGATACCATTATTATTTCAGAATTTCACAATCTGAAACTGAATGCGGAATGACATAATATATAAAATAACCTTTAACTGTTAATGGTAGAAAAAAAAAACACTGTACCTATATAGTGAAAATATGTTTTCGAAATAAATAAGAACAGCATAAATCATCTTAGCCAAATTTATTATTTATACACTTTTTTAAATTAGTGCTGTCTAAATAAATGAATACACTGTTAATCGATTATGTAATATAATATAATTTAGTTATAATATAGTTTTATAAAGCGATATTAAATTTAAAACGTATTTTATAATAAATAGAGTATATTTTTGTGATTTCCTGAACATTTTGATTTATGACAACTTTTAAAGTTCTGTCCTTCGATTAGACTGGGTTTAAACAGAAGTTTATATTACAAGACTGCCGGAGATTGTTTTACAATAAATCAAGTTTTACACAAATCGCATTAAACATTCATACAATATTAATTTTCATTCCAAGATGATCATATTAGTGGACCGTGGTAGCTTAATAACGCTAATAGTTTATTGTATATTATGCAGTATTTTTCATTAATAAGTGTAATTATTTGCAAAATATATTTAATAGTATTTGATGCAATGATGCCTATATGCATCGTGTACATATTTACATACAAGTTTTTAAAAAAACTTTAATGTGAAACATTATTTATTACTGGTCTCAGCTATGCAAAAGTATCTATTAACTCTATTAATCAAAATTATTATATTTATTAAACAATAAAGGTGAACTTGATTTATTATTATAATAATTTTGCTAGCTTTGAAAACTCGAAATTTAATATCAAGAAATAGCACGCTGATGATTACTGCAGGGTAGACTACATGAATGTGACTGTTCTCTCGTCCTCAATACACTTTGAGTGATGTTGTTTTAACAGTTTCTTTTATTTGCTCAGAACCCTTCATCCGGGTATGCTATATGAATGTATTGACGTGACCATACTTTCGTATACTTACTTGGAAACTTGGAATGTTAAGTTTGTTTAGCTATAGTTATGTTGTGTGCAGCTAAAAAAAACAAATTGTACGTTTCGTTTATGTTTTTGTTGCTCATGCTGATTTATACTCGTATTTGCCTATAAATGTTAAAAGTTCACAACGAATCTAATTTGGTACTAAATGTGTGTACCTAAGATGTAACCAAGTAATGTTAAATGATGCTAAATTTCACAGATCGATAGTTTGAATTTCCCGTATAAATAAAAATATCGAAAAAAAATTGAAAAATATTGAATTACATTTATTCATATTTTATTAGTTGAAACATTTGTTAGACAAAAAATATTATCCAGTTATTAAATTAATGTGGTTTTCCGTATTTTTTTAACATTTTAGTTGAATTTTGGACCTATTAATTTGTGATCAATTTAATCTCATACGTATCGTAAAAATGTATACATTAATACATTATATAACATTTGCATGTCTTGTATGCATAATGCGTATATGATATGTGTTATATTATAAATTACAAAAGCGAATATATTTTAGAACGAATGGTCATTATTGCTCTAAATTTTCCAAGACTAATCCAAAACCCGTAAATGCTATAAGTTTAATTAATAATTATTAATATTATAATTTATTTGGTATTAATAATTATATTTCAATATCTTATAAAAACAAAATACTAGAGTTTAATATTACAAATTGTAATCATTGTTAGACAGAATGAATGTATACTTTTTTATTAACCTTATGATGACGTGTAAATTAAAAAATTAAAATAGTGAAGAAATAGTAAAATCAAGAAATATTATCTCTTGAAGTTGTTGTTATTTTATATTTATTGTTTGAAATCTAGGAAATATCTACAGCCATGTGTTTTGTGAGCGTGGATCACAAAAAGGTATTTTAGGCAAAAGTCTAGATATCGTCAAGTGAAGCCAGTCAGCCTTTCGTAGCTTTTTTTTGGTGATAAATCATATTATTATACATACGGTGACGGCAAATCGATTTTATTTGTCAATGAAAACTCGTCCAAAAGCCACGTTTTTATACATTTCGTAAGCCTTTAAAAGTCGTCTCACGGTAGGTAGGTCGTGTATACTCTTTTCCGCGGAGGCTTACACAGGAAGGGATTCCGCATGACTTCCGCGCCCGCATGACTTTTGCATTGCGATTTCCACGTCATCGTAAATGTATATGATATAATTTATTATTACTTCCATTTCCCAAGACAATTAGACAACAATGGCAATGGTAAAGGGGCAAAGGACATTAAAAAAAAATACAACTGAAATGCAACTGTATTTCAGTATTTGTAGGACTTACAAAATATATTTATCGGTTTTCAAAAATGTACATTTTTTGATTTTTCCTAATATTAAGAGATAATTTGAACAATAATTTTTTATACGATCAAGTTAACATACCGAAAATCCGTCTAGATATTCGTTTAACAGTGAAGGAATAAATTATTTGCATTTTAAAATAATTGTGAGAAATGGTTTGACGCCAGAGTCACTATATTATAATATATTCATATATTATAGAGCTGTGCCTGAATTGGACATTATGTATATAATAGGAAGGTATACATCATAATATTATATAGGTACACGCGTGAGGCTTTAATAAAAATAGATAAATACAATAATCGATGAACTGGTATTGTATACCTACATAATCATTATTAATAATGCTGTTCTCTAATGTATAGGTACATTTCTACAGCATTATATTTGTATTACAAAGATTGAACAACAATATACTTACCACAACTAACAAGTTAGCACAAACTGCAGTAATCAACAAGTTGCAATTAAAATTAAATATTCGTATGAAAAGGTCGTGGTCAAGAAAATTAGAAGTGTGAGGTCTGGGATAAAGGGGTCTAACAATTTTATCTCCCTTAAGGTTATAATAATTATTGAAAAAAAAGTTCGTTTCGTGCCTGTTTATATGAATTATTTGGATGATGTGTGTGTAATGGTGTTTTCTTATCTGTTAGGGTGTGATGATCATCTGTGACTCAGGTGAATCGTTTTTAAGGGGAAACGCTTATTTCTTATTTTTGTTTTTTAGACACCTGAAATGAAGAGTATGATCGATGAAAACCTGACTGAAAGCAAATCGTCTGCATACAGTGGCCTGCTATTGCAAAACATTGGGATGTTGACTGGCGCTACTCTGATGTACATCATCACGTTTTCGGGTTTCATGAAAATTTAATGGTGAGAAAATAATATTAAAACTTTATCACGTCCGTTTTTTCTCATCAAAACTAGTGCTATAGCCTGTTATATAGGCCGTTGGACGATACATACAACTAGCTGTATGAATATATCGTATAAATCGTAATGAGATAAATTTAATTTTTTTCCTTATTTTTTTTCAGATACATTAATATTTCAATATTATACATACATATTTATCGTACACTATCCTTTTGCGTCTGGTGGAGGGTCTTACGAAATTTGACTTATTTATATTATTTTAATTATCACTACACCGTTCATTATACAATAATATTACTTAAATTTTAATCATAATAACTACTAACACGAAGAAAAACTCAATGTAATAATATGATGGCCATAATAAGATAGTAGTAAATAATACACGTCAACATGTTGTCAATGGTCAAATATTTTACAAGGTTAATCGTTAATATATTTTTTTATTTATTAATGTATATATTATGTAAAACTGCTTAGACGTCGTTTTGTGTTAATTCATTAAAATTTAATGTAGTCTAACTACACATATTTCTAATATCGTTGATTATTGCAAAGAAATATTTTATTTTATAATGTTATGTAAAAAATATATTATTATATTATCATTAATAAATATAGGTACCTATATATGGCTATACTAGGTACCTAAAAATTAATTAATGTAAATCAATTTTGAAGGTATATTATGATTCTCTGGGTTGATTTTTTAAATCAGACAATTTCGTTCATATTATTCTTTTCATAAATCATAACTTAATCATTTTAGAATTAAGATAATTATAATTTTATTTTAAATTGTTTTAGAATATTTTTTAAAAACATGTTCAACCAGGTTGATATCTAAAATTATAAATTGAAACCAGCCGATATATTTTAATTTATTATTTATACCACCATCGTTATTTTTATGAGTGTTATAATATTACATTTCTTTTTTCTTGTTAAGTTTATTTAATTATGTAGGCAATCAAGTATTTCTTGAACTAAAAGGTTCTACCGCATAGTATAGCATATTAACATAACATACAAAGAAAACTTTTGTTCAAAATGTAATCGTGTGTATCGTTTTAACAACATTTTGATATTAAAATTAAAGTTTTAGATTTGTTTGTAATTTAAAATTCACTTAAAGTTGAAATGTTTCATAAGTCGTTCTAAATGAATTCAACCAGTCCTAAGTTGAGATAAACAAAATTTAAAAAAATGTTTTGTATTAGGTATATTTTAGATATCAAAACCACATGTTTAATCCATAATTAAATTACCCAACAGTTTTAATTTTCTTAAAATATTTCATTATTTTATATTGTTTTTATTCTTAGCTTTATATGATACAATATTATAGTTAAATTATATTGTATTTATTCAGATCCTGGCTTGAGCGTTTAAAACTTTAAAAGACTTAGGTATTGATGGCTTAGAATTTTGACAACCTTCACAGAATTCTAAACTGTAAATTTCACTTTAAGTTTACTGCTCGTCTCATTTAATCCTTAATCCGGGTATCAAAATGTATTTTAAAAGAATCTTTAGTTACATATATTATATATGTAAAATATACGGATACGATCAATTTTATTATAATCATTTGAAGTATTGATTTGATTTTAAAGTATTTTGCCTTTTATGATGTTGGATAATATTTCTGAAATTCAATGAACCTACAAGTAAATTTAACATTTTTAAACTTTAAGTTATTCCATCTAAAACTGTTAATTTGTGAGATTGATTAGAAATTAGAATAATATATGAAATGTATTTTATTTTTAAATAATTAACTAAGTTCAATATATTATTTTTATTATATGTCGATTTTTAACTTGTATGTAATTGTATTGATTATTTTAATTATTACATAATTATTTTAATTATTATTTTACTAACAATATTATGTACATAAACTGTATAGTGTATAATTAAGTTAATTGTATTAAATATTATTTTAAGATAGACTTTTTAGAATGTGAAGTTGTGCCAATCAAAACATTTATTAGTATAACATTTAAATTGATTAAATATTTTGATAAATATTTGGACGAATATTTTGATATTGATTCTTGTACAAAAATTATATTGTCTTAAATATTTTATTGTTTTAGAGGTATTTTATTAGGTATCATTATATTATTATATTACTTTCTATTGAATGTTTTTTTTTTTGCTAACTAAAATTAGTTACATTATGTTATATACCTTCTTATAGTTTATAAATGTAGCCAATGTATAGGTACGGAACTATTAAATACTTAATACGGAGTCTCTATCAAATAAACTATTGATACATCCAACTTGTGCACAGGATAGAAAAAAGGATATAAAGTCTCCCATTGCCGTGTTTTTTTTCTGATGTTTCATTTATTATTATCAATAGTCGTAAGCTAGTCATCAACATTGAGCAGTTAACTATGGTTTGGCTGAATCGGACCATATTTACGGTGTTTGGGTGCACAAACTCACAACCTCACGTTGGTGCTCGTTTCCATGTTCCTCGGAGTGAACAGACTTCAGATCAGAGGTAAACAAAATCCTGATCTAGTTTTCGATATTATTCTATGGTATAAACAAAGTGTATTTATATAAAAAAAAGCAATGTAAAAGTTTTAATACAGTGCACACCATTTACCTACTAACATCCTATACAATGTATTATGTTGATAAGTTTATCAATATGACAATGTAAATATGTAATATTCATATACGATAATAATAATATAATCTAGATTATTAATTTTACGTATCTAACTATTCCACGGCCGATAATAATAATAGTAATAATGTGTTCGTTATCTTAAAAAATAACTTTTTTTCAAATACTTAGCCGTTTTGAATGCAATTAATAGGCGGGACAAAATGAAAATAAAATTTGTATTTTAATGCTTTTTATTTTTATTGTTTGAATGCCGTTATTTTTTTTTCATATATTTTTAACAGTAGGTATCCTCGGTATCGTAGGGAGTAACAGGTGACGACCGATTTCTTCCGGCTCGGGTCACACCAATCTGAGACCACACCCATCGATTACATCAATTTTCGTCGTCAGGCGTCAGCTGTCGTTCCGACGATCGGTCGCGGCCAAACATTGCTTTATCGTGTGATCATAGAAAAATACATGCTAAGTGGTTATTGTAATAATAAAATAATAAACTGATGCTCCCGAGAATGAGAATACTAATTCCGACTTTCTTTCAGCAGCTCAGTTCAATATGTGAACATATCTGACAGTATATGTAGGTAAGGTAAGTTATACACCATTATAGCTCGACAACAAAACATTAATTCTAATAATCGGTCGACGGTCACTAATGCATTTATGGATCGCACGGCTTACAATTTATTTCTCATATAAATGAAGTCCTCGGTAGCTATACACATATCCCAATAATAAAATAAAACATTTCGAAACCGTTAATATTATCCTATATAAGGCCAACTCCGAGAATATTTGTACCTAAACCTACATCATATTATTGTATGTTAATCAAAATATCTAAATGTGTAGAAAACTTATTTTAGTTAAAACATTTGTTGGCAAAAGCATCAGACGATTTCAATACCAGAGCCTAAGTGCGTCTGTGGGTCATGTAAATACGTAGTAAGTGACCATTAGTGTTTGCGACTGTGTGTAAAATAAATGGCGGAGCTCTCCTGCATGTGCACGCACTACATGAATATTAATTATTTTGTTTTTAGTTTTGGTCGAAAGTATTAATATTTGCCAATCGTATCAAATAGCCTATTAAATAATTTAACCGATAACATTTCTGAAAACATATTATTATTTGTCATGACATTTACTTGAAAACGACTTTCTTACATTTTTTAATTAATTGTGTCAATTATATTTATATATTATTAGTATTTCTTAGTATTACAATTTTAGATTCAGAGCGGAGCGAGGAAGCTAGTGGTTTTACAATGGTGTTTATTTTTTTTTTTATTTCCTGTATACAAAATATTTACCAGAAGGAGTGCTTCGATTTCAATATATAGTAGGTACTTCATCTTTTAGCAAATTGGATCAAGGTGGTACTTTAAAAAGGTCATTTTTCGATTTTCTCGATAGTTATTTAATGCCACAGAAAAACCACCGACAAATTATAAAAACCGCTAAAAATGGGATTTTAATTTCTAAATCTTTGTTTATCACCATAGAAACGAATAAAAATAATAATACCTATTATAATATAAATTCAACTTATAGGATATAATAAATAATAACAATATCCAGACTGACAAACCGTCTCCGCTCAGAATCGTTTTTCTTTTACAATGATATTACATCATTGAATTCAAGTTTAATACAATCCATTATACTTTGATCTACTTATTGTAACCTATACTGTACAGCCGAGCGACATCCACTACCCGCTTTTTTTAAATTAGGTTATCGTTTTTAATTTATTTAATCCTTGAATATATCTATATAATATAATATAATGGCCGTATCGTAAAAATAAGTTGAATAATAAAAAATAAAATGAAATACTAATACAGAGATACATTTACGGTAGTGCGTATTGTTTTCACTTATTAAATTTATTTTGTCAAACAGGCCAACATACATCGACTCTTTGTCCGTATTATACGACGTATATTGTGTGATGGATGCACGCAGTGTTTTAAGTATAACTCACAGCTATGTACTTTTGCGTGTGTTGTGTAAAGGTAATACGTTCCGGACGTTGTAACCCGCAATAACCGCCGTAGGTTTTGGTTGCGATTTAAGTTTGTTCGACTTAATCACTGTTTTGCCAGTGGTATACACGACATAGAAACAACAATGTTGTAACCAGGGTGATTCGCCATGCATCATGCTGACACTGTGGTACACAGAATGGATTTTCCCTTTTAATAATGAATTTATTCAAAATATAATTTTTTCAATTTCTTACTACCTATAGGTACTTAAAGACCATATTTTCAAATACTTTTTTCACGGACATTTTCAGTTCCCAATTTTGTTGTAATTCAAAAACGAAAAACTCTTGATAC